AGACTGAATTACCGATTCTAACACTCCCTGCTAAAACGAATAACCAATTCCGCGAGCCCTGCTAAAATGAGTGTCAATTCCAAAACCTCTGCTAGAGTGAATATCCAATAACACCACTCCCAGCTAAAATGAATAAGTTATTCCACCTCTTTTACTAGATTGATTACGCAGTTCCCAAACTCCCCTTCTCACGTGTCGGAATATTTTCAGCCAGTAGCACCCTATCACTTACCATCCACGCGAAGGGATTGACTGTCACGCTTATACCACGCTCACAGCTTAGCGTGCGGGGAATATTTTGTGATATCACACGTACTCGAATCTGTTTCGCCAGCTCCGAAATCCAAACCTCTATCACAGGGCCAATCCACAATTTTCTCATTACTATAAAAAAAATCTTTCAGTAGCAGTAAAATTTAAAGAGACCATTTTGATTGAACAATAAAACTATCAAGAAGTAAAATGTCAGTAATTAAAATCTATTTTCTTTTTCATTTAAGTACTTGGTTTTTACTAATAAATTGATGGGGGGTTAGATTAATATTGTTAATTTTAATCATTTGTAATTCGACTTAAGTTGTGTAAGCCTAAAAGTAATTAGCAAGTGTCTTGTTTGTCTCGATGAAGCTGCAATGGCCGAAACGTTGGCTTAGATAGAAACAGCTATGTTTTCTGGAGTAATAGGTCGTGATATATTTATTTTTAAACTTTATTTTTGTAAATCCACTGTTACGTTAAATTCGAACGTGGTTATAATTATTTTGTTTTGTGAAATCAAAATAAAAGAGTAATGGTTAATTTTGATGGATTAAAAATAATAAAATAACATTTTTTCGCGTTACTTATCATTCGTTTTTGTGACAGCACATGTTAATAATATGCTTGGCTTGAAATTTTTTAAGTTACTTCAAGCCCCCCCCCCCCAGTGGCACAGCGGTATGTCTGCGGACTTACAACACTAGAAACTGGGTTTCGATACCCGTGGTGGGCAGAGCACATAGAGCCCATTGTGTAGCTTTATGCTTAACTACAAACAAATATTTACTTCAGACCTTCTAATCGACAGGGTACGACTTTTTTGTTTGTTTGTTGAAATTCGCGTAAAACTACAGGAGGGGTATCTGCGCTAGCCATACCTAACTTTGAACTGATACAGTAAAGGAATGGCCGGCTAGTTCAAAGTAACCCACTGCCAACTCGTGGGATACTCAAATCGAATAGTAGAATTTGTCTGTCGCTCTTATAGCGCATTCACAGTCTCAAAATGCTGAGCGCGATAGAAAACGAATAAGTAATGGTTTGGAGTGTTTGTTCGGCTCTTTGTCTGACATGAATATTACATCCACATATATCAACGAACGCTTAAATTTCTGAGAGAGAGAGAGATTAAAGCTTGTTGTAGCTCAGTGGCTAATGTCCCGCGAAGAAGCTAGGAAATTCGTTTAGTTTGGTTAGAAGTTCGCACAAAGTTACACGAGGGCTATCTGCGCTAGCAGTCTCTAATTTAGCAGTAAAAGACTAGAGGGAAGGCAACTATTAATCTCTTCAGCTATTCTTTTCTTAACGAATAGCGGGACTGATCTTCACATTATAACACCCCCACGGCTGAAAGAGCGAGCAGGTTTGGTGGAACGGGGATTCGAACCCGCGACTCGCAGGTTACGAGTCGAGCGCCCTAGCCACCTGGCCATGCCAGGCCTTTCAAGGTTTGGTTCGAGCCATGATACGACGTTGAACACGTTCCGCACGATTATATATAGGGGTGTTATTACTGTTATTTTTATAGGCAATGGGCGCCTCTTAGATGCCATCTAAGTTGAAAATACAAATTACCGAAACGTGATCTACTTGTTGAGAATTAAAATCGTTGCTTATCAACGAAACTTAATCAGCTCTTTTTAAACAAAAGCTGCCGATCTTCCCACAAAAACAAGCTGCGCGACAAGTCTTAAAAAATAAAGACTGAATAGATTTACACAAATATAAAAAGCGAGTCTTTGTTTAACGATCGAAGTTCACACTTGAAAGCTAAAGGAAAATCTGTAGGTTTTGACAGAATCTTGTTACATAACCAGACAGTTAAATTGCTTCTCATGTAGTCGTGCGCTTAATATATACCTGATAACTCTTTCCCATGCACAATGTTTGTTTTGAAACATTAACACACACCTGTTAAAATCCATGCCAAAAAAAAAGACCGCTAATTTCTTAAAAATAATTGGTACTTAAAAAATTCATTAATACAATAAAGTGAGATTATTAAGTGTTGTCGTTTTTTTTTTCAAAATATTTCACAAATATTCTTCTGGTTGGTATCATAAATTAATTAATTGATAACATTCAAATAAGTTTGTCGCTAATGATTTACCTCTGCTTTTTGTGTTTTCCTAAAGACAGAAAGGAAATACTAATGGGTCTTCCAAGAAATTTGGGCGTGTCATTATTACGTACGTTGACGTAATATTGACGTATATGACCGCAATAGCCCATTCCTAAAGAAAATATGCATAAGATCCCTCTCACCTATAGGATTAAACTTCACGCACTTACTTCCTCGTGTCAGTAACTGCTCACTGTTTGTATATATTCAGTGTGCAGCGGCTGACTTCGTAAAGTTAGTTAAAAGTCACCAGAATATGTGATGAAGTTTTAACCTAATAGATATAGGTGAGTACGAAGAAAACGGTTAAGAAGTATATAACGAGAGGCAAGTATAGATCCTCTAAATATCTTTACATTATCCCCCCCCCAAAAAAAGTAAGGATAACATACGAGGACCAATGAGATTACTCTATTCAACTGTACTTTTAGAATACAGTCTGTCTGCTTGTTAGTGTAAAAAAAATAGCCTAAGGATCACAAAATTATTCTTTTTTATCATTACAATGAATCTAATATAAGAACTGCACGCGGAGTGAAGTTTAATGTTAATAGGCTCCAGTGCCAATGTTTTTCGTTAGACAGGTATTTATAAATCTAAACGACAGGTGTAGTCTATTCTTTTGAAAAATATGGTATGGGATTAAGAAAAGGAATTGGAATAGTACAATCCAAAAGCAAATAGACTGATGAGTTGATATAACTTCATCTTTACAGGTTTGTTTAGAATACTATATAATTTATAAGCGACATTCAATGAAACTCTCTCCTTATAACTTTCAATATAACATGTATCGAAAACTTCGTGCCACTCATAGGAGAGAATGACAACAGATTTTTATTTTTTACGTTACTAGAAAAAAATAGACATTCATAAAATTCAGCTTAACAAATAAGCTGAAAAAGTTTGTAGTTCAGCTAAACGGCGTTGGACAACCAATAGTTTTATTGAATACAGGTAAATAAATATCCTCGTCTAAGTTTTACTGTTCGATGTTTAATATCACGCTTTAATTATAACGCTATTGGTTGAGAAATATTTCGTATTTACTCTATTAATTTTTCACATCGAAGTTTTGCAACAAGCTTTCTTTTCCTATTGTTCAAATGGGAGAAGGAGATTGGGGTTAATGTGAGTTAGACCAGAGCCGTTAGACCCATATTTGTATAAGTGCAGTTGATAATTTATATTAGTATTTCATTATTAACGGAAAATATCAGAAGAAATACTCACCTTTATCGAGAATGAATAGCATATACGTTTGACATTAGTTTGTGGTGACCTGGTGGTTAGGGTACTCGATTCGCAACCTGCGGGTCACGGGTTCGAATTCCGTCATCGAACATGCTTGCTCTTTCAGCAGTGAGGGCGTTATAATATGACGATTTTCATTGGTAAAAGACTAACCCAAGAGTTAACAAACCTATAAGAAAAAAAAAGAAACAAGACGTTAAGGAAACAAGTGTCTAGGAACTCTTTAATTGATAAAATTGCATTTCTCGACCTAATACTAATATTTGTTTGTTGAGTATATACTTCACTCTTTAACAAACAAATATTACTATTAGATCTATCACTGATGCATTGTTGAACAAACGTTTGAAAGAGTGAAGTATATGCCCAATAAACAAATATTACTATTAGATCTATCACTGATACATTGTTGAAGCAAACGTTTGAGGTATATACTTCACTCTTTCAAACGTTTGATTCAACAATGCATCAGTGATAGATCTAATAGTAATATTTGTTTGTTGGGCATATACTTCACTCTTTCAAACGTTTATTTTAACAATGCATAAGTGATAGCTATATTTTCTGTTAAGGGTATACTAGAGTTTCTAATGGACTATTTTGTTATTTAATATCACGTAATAACTCTTAACAAATACTGTTTTTAAGTGATCCGCTGATTTGATTTAACTTTTGATTTTTGACCTGAGCTAAATCATTCAAATGCTTATTCTATAAACTGTTAATGTTGCCAAAAATTGAAACTGTGCTAAGATTTTTTTCTCTTAACTCATAAGTTTCCCGATCAAACTTGTAACAAATATTCTCTGTGTATCTATATAAGTGTCTGACAGCTTATCTGTATATTTAACGTGTTCTGTAATAATTTTGATACATACTTTATTTTATTTAATAATAAATAAATATACTATATAATGATTTGCAGCAGTTACACACAACCGAGTATCTATGGCTTCCCCGGATTTGACCATTCTTTTCTGTGGCGACGCCAAGGAGTGGGCTCACTACTTGACACAAACGTTTTGCTCTCATAGTGGACCTCAGGCTTTGCCTATTCATCAAGAGCGCTTAGAGAACCTAATATTTCCTCTCCCTTCTGTTTGTGCGCAGAGTTTCACTTCTGCGAAAGTTGTACTCGTTATACTGTCTCCTGCATCTTTAGATTTCATTGACAGTCACGCGGAAGTGTTCGAACTGGGAAAGTTGTTACGACCAAACCAAACCGTCGCCATGTTGTGTGGAGTGAACGAGGGAGATATTACATCTTTTCATAAGGCGGCGCTAGTGTCTTATGATGCATGGCCACGTTTTGTTGCTCGCGATCAAGACAGAGAATGTGTAGAAAATGTATTAGGAACAACGTTCGAATTTCTGAAGCGTGCTCAAGAAAGTCAGGCTTATCAGAAGCCTCAGTTCAAGGTGTCTCCTCGAAAAGTTAATGAGGTACGTCCACGTAAAGTATGATCGAAATTGTGTAAACTTTTTAACATTTCACAGCTTTAAAATGCTTTACCATTCTATTATTAATTATATTCTAATTTTGAACACATTTTATTTTGAAGATTTACATTAAGTCATGAATTATTTTATGGTAATATGCAGAGTAACTTCTGTATTTAGATTCTCATTTTGCTTCAGATTTCGTATATGTTTTAAGTAATATTAATCAGCTAATCTTTAATAACGATTTACTTTTGTTTGTTACACTCAATTTTCATCAAAGTAGAAATATATCTACACTAATTTGTTTTGTGTATAATATTAAATCTATGATTAATAACCATAGATTAGTTGTTTTTATCTGCGTTAAATAATTATTCTCGTCTCTTAAATGATATTAAATTACAAATTATTGAAGTCCAATTTTCAAATCATTGTGTAAAATACTGCTCGTTGTATGTTTTCTACTACAGACTATTTTTACTGTATTATACAGATACTTGTTAAAGAGCTTTTTTTGATGAAACACCGTGTTACTCAATGAAATGTAAACATTGACAGTCCTTCCTGAGATCCATAAAAAGATCTTCCACAAAAGCATTGAACATAGTTTTTTCTCATATAGTTATTTGAACAGTTTCTTGTATTTTAAGATATTGTCGTGGGGCAGCTGAATTGACGTAATACCTATGTTGAGTAATAAATCAGTCTTTCTAGGTTTTAAGATAACAATAAATAACAGTTTGAACTTGTTTTAAGCACAATGAATATTAAAAACATTAAACCACTTGTGACTGTAATTAAAGCTCAATCACATACTACAGTCTTTCAATACAATTGATATGTAATAATTCACAGGGCAATAGAAAAGTTTTCGTCATCTTAGACAGAGCCATCAGAGTCAACCAAAAAGTCCAGGTTTTGCTTGAAGGTAACGGAGTCCATGAGTTACCGGTGAAAAAAAGGAATCCATACACGTTACAGTTTGTTGTTCCTGGTAAGTAAAACGAACATGTTCTCTATAAGAATAGTTTCAGCTCACGAATATACTCTAGTGTTATAACTTACACCATTATCGTGTAAATGTTAGCATACGAGTATATGTATTTCTTTCCCTGCAATCCATCTTAAAGTTTCAATGGCAGGAGATCTCGTACTTTGTCAACTTAAGGAAATCGTTTGTAGATCTGTCATCAAAACACTACATACATAAAAAGGTTTCTTGAAGGAGCGACTAACAACCAGCCATGATACGTCTACGAGTATTGTTTTACGTGGACATTTATCAAATTACATATCTGCATACAGTTGTCTGAAATGAAAATAACAAGCACGAGTTTAAATGAAATAGTGTGACAAGTGTGTACCATTTTCTGATTAAAAAATTATATATTATTTAATTATTTGTAAAACAGGAAATATATCTAATTAAGGAACTATCGTATGCAATCAAATTTCCTTAACACCTACAGGATCGCACAGCCAAAAGTTTACAATGCTGAATATTTTTGGGTGGACCTAATTAATTCTTCGTTTACGGTATTATATAATCGCTTATTTATGTGTCTGCTTATTTAATTTTACATTTAGAAATTACAAAACCATTTTTGAATCGACATGACCAAAAAGCAACTTTAATGTGTGCAGTCTGTTTTAAGCATTCATTAATATTTTGTTAAAATACATTTTTATCGTAACTAACAACTGCTTTGAAACGAATTCTGACAGGTCCTAAGGCCTTCCCTGTTGACTATTTCATGTGTGACGACTATTTTCTGGGTGTCCGAGCTTTAAAGTGTGAGTCTAAAATTGGAGAGCTGTACACGTTACTTCAGAATGTAAATTCTCCGTACGAAATGCTTCGACAAACGATGGGAGTCGCTTCTTGTAGCGAAGTGGACAACCTAATGGTGAAAAACTTCCAACGAAATCTTCCACCAATTGGCTTCAATATGTTAGACCCAGATGTTAATTTAGACCTGAACAGTAAGTGTGTTTATTAATTATCATTAGATTTCAATCTTTTGCTAATCATACAGTCAATATGTGCATTAAAAAATACAAATTACGGATTCTATAAAACATCACGAAATAATTTAATGCAGCTCGAAATTAGTTTATCTATTAAAAAAAAGGCTGGGCGAGGACTAGTGGTTGACATCTTCTGATGAGAATTCGAGGACTCATGAGTGGCGTACCGTTGCCACAAAAATATGCTCCACGTTTTGGTGCACTATAAGAGTGACAGTCAAATATAAGTAGCCCAAAAGATGACGGTGGGTGTTATTGACTAGCTCCCCTCCCTCTAGTCTATAAGCTCAAAACTAGAAACAGCTATGGACAGCTAGTTCGTGTTTAGCTCTGCGCGGAAGTTCTGAACAAACAAACAAATTTAAAACAGACAAACATATCAACAACAGAGTGATTAGAGAAAGAAAAATAATAGGCCTCACAGACAGGATCAGAGAAAAAGAAAGGTAAAATTATTTGACAATCTGAACTTATTCAATGATACTCGTTTTATTCAGGCGAAATTCAGCTTTTTTATACAGTTTTATTATCACCATGATTTAAGGTTTCCTGTAATTGAGTTTAAAATAGGAGATTATTGGAAATCTGTAAATTACACTAACATGTATTCTTAGTGAATTGGGTTTAGCAAAACCTAGACTTAAACCACAGAATCCTAACAGGGGAAACATCCGAGTTGAAAGAACACAATATTGTAGACGGAGCGACAAAGATTACACATGAAAATAATACATAATATTAGCTAGAAAATGAATGATTATGACTGGAATGACACAAAAATGTCACTGGGATACGAACAGAACGGAATCTTTAAACAACACAGAATTCTGACTGGTAAAAATCAGTATCTTAGCGTATAATCTCTCTGAACAGGAAACATGTTTCTATGCTACATTGTAAGTTAATATACAACATACTGTGCACTGGGGTTTTAACGACATATGAACTTGAGAAATATGTTGTTCTGGACTAAATAAAGAACTTTCCATTAAAAGCACATAGAGTACGCATTTTTTTACGAATAATATAAACGAATTGATTCACTTGAAGGTCATATTTCAATATAGATTTCGAAAGTCCTTAATTTGAAAAGTTCACTCATAATGGACACTGTTTTAAAATACACATTAAGTTTAAATGTTACACTGTAAACGGAATAAAGTCAAACTTCCTAATCTTGGAGTTGTAAACATTTATGTGGTAAATTTTCACCAAACTCTCACATGATCATAATGAAAAACTATTATGTTGCAATAATACCTAAATGTGTTATATGCCACTATGTCAGAATTAAATATCCTTAGAAATATAATAAAAAACACGGAAAGACGTACTTCGTGTACGAAAAAATTTTGGGGGTTCTGGAATTTTGTATTTGAATACACAAAGTTTATTGTGTTTGTTATGGATTTCGCGCAAATCTACACGAGGGCTATCTGCGCTAGCCGTCCCTAATTTAGCAGTGTAAGACAAGAGGGAAGGCAGCTAGTCATCACCACCCACCGCCAACTCTTGGGCTACTCTTTACCAACGAATAGTGGGATTGACCGTCACATTATAACGCCCCCACAGCTGAAAGGGCGAGCATGTTTGGTGTGACGGTGATTCGAACCCGCGACCCACAGGTTGCGAGACGAGCACCCTAAACACCTGGCCATGCCGGGCCTATAAATACTTGTGAGAAATAATTCTACATTTGATAATCACACTTATAAAGTATTGACGGCCCCAAAGTACATAGCGCAATTTTTATTTTTGTTTATTTTTTGTAAAGGGACGAGAATGATGAGCCCATCAATCCACGATCCAGCACGTTGACTATTGGGCCACGCTTGGGCTCAGTCGATTAGAATTTCTGTAAAAAATTAGAAACGTTAGAATCATCGTTCGCAAAATAATGGCCGGGCGTGGCCTAGTAGTTAGCTTGTCAGGCTGCAGAATGAAGGGTTCGAGACCTGATACTGTTGAATACGTTCTGCATTTTCAGCTCCGAGCACGCTATAAAAGTGACAGTCAGTTTCATTTCTCAGTTTAAAAAGCGAGACATAGCTCTTATGGCTAAGGGTACATGCTAGTTTGCGTCCTTTCCTTTGGTCAGTAGTTCAAAACTAGGGATAACTATACCCGGTCATTTTATCTCACCTGCACATAAAATGCTGCTAGCTCAGGTAGAAATTTTCAATTCCACAAAATTTATATTTTTTAATCAGAAACTTCCGAGATCAACTAGTAAAGGAGGCACATCCCGATTATAAATATCAATGATATAAGTCATCGTTTCCCAAAGTATAGGGAGCACCTTCCAGGAGGCACAAATTATCTCTTGGGAGGAGAGGGGGGCGAGAGATTAGGGTAGAGTCAATAGTGCAGTAATGGCAAATTGAACATTTGATATATATTTCTTATTAATATAAATAAGTAATTAGTTTAGTTTG